AGTGGAATGGGTCAAATGGTATTTCTATTTTCAACTTTTTGAGAAAGCGCCATACTGCCTTCCATAGTGGTTGCACACAGCCATTTTTTAAATGATCATCATGTATTTCGCTTACATGTGATATGAATTATATTGATAATTTTCACACTCTATTGGATCACCTTTCTTGGGAATGGGAACAAATAGAGAACTCTTCCATTCCTTTAGCCAGACAGCTGTCCTCCAAATTTTCTGGCAAAGACTGGTGAGTGCATCCAAGTCTGCATCTGTTAGCTGAAACAAATCAATTGGTATTCCATCAGTTCCTGGGGGCTTATTTTTTTGCCATTGCCTTCAATGCAGCTCCCAGTTCCTCCTTCATTACCATTGGCTCCTGCTTATATGATATTTCCTAAAATTTTTCTATATCAATCAGTTCTTTTTGGTACAGTGATTCTGTGAATTCCCTACATCTTCTTTTGATGCTTTCTGGATCATTCAGTATATTGCCTATAGCATCTTTCAGTATTGTGACTTGAGCCTTAAATTTGTTTTTTTCAGCTTGCGAAATGCAGAGCGAGTTCTTCCCATTTTATTCTCCAATTTCGTACCTCTGCATATTCCAATATAATCCTATTCGTATCTTCTCAGGTTGCCATTCGAAATCTTCTGCTCAACTTTTATTTTGGCACATTTTCCCTTCTTGACACTCCTGTGCAATTTTCTCTTCTGAATTTACGTTTTTTCTTTAGCTTCTGTTTTCACAATGACCTTTTGCTTTCTTTATGGATGATATCTTTTGACCATTGGTATTCAATGCCTCAAACCTATTTCTAAAATGATCTTGAAATTCAGATGAAATTCATTCAAGATCATATCTTGGTTCCTATGAACTTACTTTCATTTTCTTTGGCTTCAATTTGAGTTTGCATATGAGTAATTGTTGGTCTAACCCACAATCCACCCAGGCCTAGTTTTTACTGTTGATATTAAACTTCTCCATTGATTTCTTCCACAGATGTAATCAGTCTGATTCCAATACAACCCACTGTCAGGGTTGTATTCTCTCTCAATGCCTATTCAATCCTTATGCTGAGTAAATTATTGCACTCTATGAAGAGGAATGTGACATCAGGATTGGAGGGAGACTCATCAATAACCTGCATTAAGAAGATGATACAACCTTGCTTGCTGAAAGTGAGAACTTGAAGCTCTTGTTGCAGAAGATCAAGTAATGCAGCTTTCACTATGGATTGCATACCAATGTCAAGAAAACAAAGATTCTTACCACTGGACTAATAGGCAACATCATGATAGATGGAGAAGGGATTGAAACTGCTAACAACTTCATATTACTTAGATCCACAATTAAGACCCTTGGTACCAATGGTCAGAAAATCAGGGGATGTGTTGCAGTGGGAAAGTCTGCAGTCAAGTACCTCTCCAAATTACTGAGGAGTAATGATTTCAGTTTGGGGATGTCTGATTTAGCTATGGTCTTTCTGATTACTTGCTACGCATCTGAGAGCTGGATGATGAATAAGGATGACAGAAGAAGAATTGATGCCTTTGAACTGTGTTGGAGCACTGAACATGAACGGCCAAAAGAACGAACAAATAATGTCTGGGAGAGGGTGAAGCCAGGGTGCTCTTTGGAAACACGGATGATGAGGCTTCACTTCACATACCCTGGGCATGTTGCTAGGAGGGGCTATTCTTTGGAGAGGGACATTATACTTGAAGAGTGGAGGTCGGTAAAAGAGAGGAATACCCTCAACCAGGTGGAATGGCACTGTTACTGCCTTAGTGGGCTCTGGTGTTTCAGAAGTGTGAAGATGGCACAGACTAGGATGGGGTTCAACTCTGCTGATCCTGGGGTCCCTAGTTAAAATGGGCTCGAAAGCACCTGACAACAAGAAACACTGGCATCTTGGGCAAGTAGATGACTGACTGGTCACTCTATCTGCAGTGGTCCCAGACTGTTACTACAGAAAAATCAGTCTGTAATTCAATATAAGGCAACTGGTGTCTGCTTTGTCTGCCACACTTTTTAGTTCTGTGCTAACCATTCTTGAGCTATGTTTCAGATGGAGAATTAAAAACTAAGAGACCTTTCATAGATCCTCTCCTGAATGAGCCTTGCTTCTATAAAAACGCCATGTGAGCAAAGAGATGCTTTACATAGGAGTTTAAATAGAGACCACAGCAAACTTTACTGCAAAACTCTTTCTCTTTAGAACAATGTAGATTTTTTTTCTTTCTTAGATTTTTATTTTTATACATCCTCGTGACATTTCCCTTAAGGAATAAGAGGCTAGCAGAATCAGCTTTTTAAAAATTATACCATTCTGAATATACAATTTAAAACACATCAGTGAGGAGTTGAACACATCAGTGAGAAGTTGAACACATCAGTGAGAAGGTGAACAGTTTAATTGATAGCATTTTTGCCGAAACAATAATAAACAGGAAAAGACTGGTTTTGTGTCCACCACCTCCAACCACAAAATTTATTTCTGTTGTCTTCAGTGATTGGTTTTCAAACCACAGAGTTGTGAGGTGGCCTGCTGTGATGCTGTGGGAACACAATGCTCATTGACAGTTCTAAGACTTAACTCAGAGCCATTTAGGTTCCATACAGTAAACACTCCAGCTTAGAGATACACAGTAAAGTCTAAGATAGTAACTTCATTTCCCAAAGAAAAAAGTGGCTCATGGTTAAGTAACCTGATCATGTTAGCATCTATTGGCAAGGTTGTCAACCAGGATAGTTAGATCAAAATAAACTTCTTTTTTTTTTTTTTTTCCCAAAATAAACTTCTTAGACTCACATAGCAGACTCATTATTCATTGATTCTGCGATCAAAATATTAAGCTTTTATTTTGATCAAATTCTCACCAGTAGATCATCTATACAAATACCATTACCAGTTAACTGAGAAAAAATTAGCACATCTTTGGATCCATTAGAAATGAGAAATCTTTGGCAAATAAATCTGTGCTAATCATGAGCTTATGTTGGTAGATATATTTAAAAGCTTAAAACTTAAAATTCAAATTAACTCTCTCTTCCCAAACCTGGTTCATATTGTTTTTGGTTTGTGATTGTGATAAATATATATTACATGTATCATTCAGTGCCATGGATTACATTCATCATGGTGTACACCATCCCTACTATCCTTTCCAAATTATTCCACCATCACAGTTGTGATGAAAATAAATTATCATTGCTATATTCCTCCTCTGCTTAGAAATTAGGAAAACATGCTCCACAAACTATGTGCTGTGGCATTACCATAAACCCAGGAAGAGAAGGGTGTGATCAGAAGCCTCCCTCCAAGGGGGCATGCTTGGGGAGGATCTGCAGATGCCAGGATCCCACCCCATTTCACAGTAGCCTGTCTTGAAATCACCACTCCTCAGTGCACTGCAGGTACTCACATGACAGCAGGCTGGAAGCACACTTACACAGCACTTCGTGAAAGTAGCTCTAGTTTGGCCTGAAATAGCTGTGTTGCTAGAGATGAAACTTTCATGTGACTCCAGACTTTTAAGGATGAAAATTTTAAAAATACATTTATATGAGATAAAATTTACCTACTGAAGCACACTGTAATATGTCAATCTCCATGGTGTATGTCTGCAAATTCATGACTTTGCTATCGTCCAGAGTCCTCCTGGATGGGTCTGGACAGAACTGCCAGAGGCACCCAGCTCCCTCCCCAAGCATCTGATTCCTTTAACATACTTTCCCTAGACAAAGCATAATTGTGACTATTTCTTGAAAGTGGAAAAAAAATTCAATGAAGTTTATTCGTTGTTGTTGTAATTATTGTATCATTCCATCTCTGAGCTCAGAGTTACTACCAGTCTACTAGCATTAATTTGAGAAGCACCCAATTGCCTCCTGGTTCTGATTTTACCACCTATACTATCTTGCAAGTCCAGCTTTAGCTTAAGCATCAAAACCCCCCACCAGTGAAATTGACTGGTTAGGTGCTAAAGAGAAAGGTGGGATAAAAGCTGGAGTATAAGAGGTGCTGGCTATTCCAGCACTTGGCTTAGGATAAAGACTGTTCACAGTGTGTTACATTACCTAGTGTTGCAGAAAGGAAACGCTACTGTAAGCAGTTTACAATCATTTCACCCATGTGTGGGTCTGGTGCTGTGTTCTAGGAGCCAGTGCACACCAGACCTAGTGTGACAATTTTAAGTATGCTACACTTATCTCTCTGTCTTTGAAGGTCTCTGTGTAAAGCAACTTATCCAAGACTTAAATTTTACTCTATGTTCCTAAAGGTAACATTGTTTAATAGAGAATATAAATGCTGTCTGCTTGTGTCTCAAGATTTCTATCTGAAGAGTCTTTGAAAAAGAGAAAATTGTATCTTTCTACTTAGAAGCTCTATTAGCACATGCAAATAAGGCTTACTCATCAATAATCTGGTTATTAGTTAAGGGGGCCCTGTGATTAAAGCACTTTTCTGCTAATCGAAAAAGACCTGTGCCTGGAGCTAACCAAAAGCTCTGTGATGAGGCAGGAGACAGGTGAGGGAGTGGCTTTTGTAAAGGTTTCTGGCCTTGGCAAGCCCATGAGGTATGTCTCCATCCTGCAGGGTCGCCATAAGTTGGAATCTACTTGGTGGCTATTGGTTACTATTTAGGCACGTTACCTACAGATAACCATAGTTTCAAAAAGGCATGAGGCACTCCTGTAACCATTATGTGGAACTGGTCACAAATGTCTCCCCAAGTGGACAGAAAACTCCAGAGGAAGAAATCTTCGGAGATTAAAAGGTATTCTATGAAAGTTCTAACTCAAAAGATAAAGATTCAGTGTCCATTAAGGCCTGAGGTGGTCTGAAACCTTTGCATAGTAACTATAAAGTAAAACTGACCTCTGCCTCTTTGAAGGAAGTGAAAAGAGGTGCTGCTCTCCTAAACAGGGTGCTTCACTCTTTAAAGGAAGTAAAGCCTTCTGTATATAAGATTGCATTTAAAACAACATTATTTCTTTCTCAAAACCAGTGCCCATTACTATCTTCCTCCTCCTCTTCCTTATCTAGATAGAGCAGAGCAACCTTCTTGTCATCTGAAACCACCAACCTCTGGTCGACCATCCTCTGCTGCTGCACTGTCTTATTAAACACAGCCTGCTCCTGGTCCTCTGGCCCAAGGGCCCAGTTTCTATCACCAGTGGAGGCCTGAACGCTCCCAATTTCTGCCCTCTCCTTACTGCCAGCCCCTGTCCAGGCACCACCATCAGATTCCCCAGGTGTTGCTGCTTCCTTCACAGTAGGGAAGTGGATCATGACCTCCTGTGTCCTTGGTGCAGAGCTGGGGGTTGCCTCCAGGTTGCTCACATCGATCTGAAAGGCAAAGGAAGTTTCCATGGGCTCCAGTGTAACATGCCTCACTGGCCTGTTGCTATCTGCTAACACCCAGCTTGGAAGTAGCTGTGGACCCAGCAAGAGCAAATGCTTTAGGGTCCGTGAAGACAATATAGTCAGAGTGTTCGGCTTCTGCAGGACCTCGTCTAATATCCCTGAAGGACCTGCTAGTGTCTGATGTCACTTCTAACCTGGTTGACTTTCTCCACTCTCCTCTGGAGGAGATGCAGAAGCCTCACTCGGAAAGAGTTCTTTTCAACCATAAGGTTTCTTTTCTCTGAAGTGGAATGATGAGTGCTTGGGTTATGTCTGTGGTGCTGTCTGTGCACAGAGCTTTCTGAGTCACTAAGCCCTGTGGGCTGGGGAAGAGCTCCCAGGAAAATCACCTGCTCTGTGGTAGGGCATCTGAGGAGCAATTGGAATGTGCCCAGTGGATGTGCCGTAACTGGGGAGTGTGCTAGCATGTTCGGAACATGGCTCCAATTTCTCTAACGGGGGGCTGTGGTCTGACTCTCCTCACTGTACCCTCCTTCAGGGTCTAGTTCAAGGTCCATCTGTATACCCACGGACTCTTTAGTTTGAATATAATGGCCAACCTTCCCTGTCCCAGGAACGTGGCCCTCAAAAACAATTTCCTTGTTAGCATGACTAACTGTTTGGAGTCAAACATGACGTGCCTCCTATACTGACCAGTGTCTAACCAAAACTCACCAGGCTCTTCTGTGTCCCCTTTCTCCTGAAGGGCAGAGACAGACCCTTGGAAGGAGACTTCTTGAGACTTCTGACTCTGACCAAGACCCTGCTGAAAGTGCCTCAAAGACCAGGTGATGTCTGCTGAGCACTCTGCCTGGCTAGGCTGCCTCCTCCACTTACCTCCACTTCTGACGGAGATCTCCCAGGTGAGAGCTGCTCAGCCCTCCACACCGCAGTGGGGCCTATCTGAATATGCCTTACAGACTGGCTGATGTCCTCAAGCACCTGGGACTGGCCAAGGCCCCTGGGGCTGCTGATTTCCACAGTGGCCAACACTGGACCCTGCCAGGTGACTGAGTCGGTGCTTGGAGAAGCTGGGCTGGCATCCTCCCTTTCAACAGATGGGCTGTACAGTTCCCTGGTGGCCCAGCGTTTGAAACCAATGCCAGTGGCCAGGGCCTCCACTCCTTTCTGGTCAGGGCTTCCAGGCACTTGACTAGATCGCTTGGTCAAACTCTCCCGAACCACTGACTCCACAGCTTTCTCTATTTCACTAGTTTCGCATCGGTTCAGCTCACCCAGGTCTAACTGATCAGCGTCGACAGTTTGTGAAAGGTTGACTTCAGCAACTAAGGTCATGGAACCACCACCAGAGCTCTGGACTTCCTTCACATCCACAGCCACACTGCCAGGCTCACCCGCGCCCTCTCGGCTCAAGGCGGACAGCTCTTTCCTTACTCGCTCCGGAAGCCTTTCTTCCAGCTGCTCCATAACCTCTCCCAGCTGGTTCTTGGGCTCCATGGCAAAGACTTCCTTACTGGAGATGTGAAATTCTTGTGGTATTTTAATTTCCTTCTCAATGACTATGGGTTTAGCATGAAACACACCATGTTTAGCTTCTTCTCTCCAGTGAGAAGAATACAGGTGCTCCTCCTCCTCCTCTCTCAACCTGTCCTCTGTCTTCCTTCTCCGGGTCCCCTGCACAATTTCGTCTTGCCACGAGTACTTGATGGTGGATTCTTCGTCAGTGTGGATCTGCCCATACACGGAGCCTTCATCTCTGTCATGCCCACCTGGGTGATCATCTGGAGTTGACACGAAATAACTCTGCTCTCCCTCCCAATCAGATACCTCTGTCACCTCTTCCACCTGAGTTAAGTTCTGAGGAGGCTGCTTCATCTTTGAAAACTGACTGACTGAGAAGGCGCTATCTGTTTCTTCATAAACTTCCTTTTCCTCAACTAACCCCTTGGTGTCTGGAGACACATCATCGACCTCCTCCACCTGACAAGGGGTGGGGAGCTCCTGTACTTTCTCTCCTGCATAGCTCATGGGCTTTTCAACGATCTCCACATTGACAATCTTGACCCTCCCCTCTCTTCCTTTCAGGCCTAGGTTGACTATGTCTCCTATCATCTGCTCAGCAGATTTTCCTTTCAGCCCCACTTCCTTCATATCTTTGCTCAGAAGATAGTCCAGGCCAGTATCACTGGAAATATCAACCTCCTCCGCCAGTTTAGACTCCACGACAATCTCAGTCTTTGTCTTCCTATCACCAGGCAGCTCTTTCCTGTCCACGTAAGTGACCTTGGTGTCTGGAAAAGAAGCAGCAGATGCTTCTGTATCTGGGGCCTTCGTGAACTGTGTAAGGATACTGGAGACAATGTTTTCTGCGATGGTTTTGGTCATGGCATCACCTTTCAGGGAGCTGGGGGCATTGCTGGTGTCCAGACTGAACTTCATTTCTCTTGTTTTTGTCTCTATAGGTCTCTTACCACCAATATCCTTCTTGACAGATGTGTGGAAGCTCTGTGGTGATGCCTCGGGGATGTTTTCCTGCGATGTTTTCATAGTAATTGGTATCTCTCTCGCACGCACATTTTTCTCCTTCAGTGACTCCTTCTCTTTAGCCTGTTCCCTCATTTGCTGACTTTCCCTCTTTCTTGCTTCTTTATCTAACTTGGTAAGCTCTTCCCACCTTAAGTTTCTCTCCTCAGAAGCCTTCTCTTTAGAGTCAAACACTCTCTCCTCTTGCTTTGTCCTGCCCATTCCTGGTATGATTCTTCCTCGCTCCTCTGCGCCTTTCACATCTGTTTTCTTTCCCAAGGTGACAGTCCTGTCACTTGAACATGTGCTCTCAGAGGTGCCCAGCACTCTGTTGTCCTGGCTTTCTCGATGTGACTCCCGGACAGTGGAGGCATCATTTGCCCCTTCAGTTCTTGGTCTTTCAGGGAGTCTTTTCAGTTGCATTTCTGTTTTTCTTAAAAGATCATAGGTGGGAGAAAAGGTTCTGAAACGTGCCTGCTCATTGGCAGTTTTGTCACTAGTGTTTTCCTGCCAGACAGTGGTCAAGGGTGAGTATCCTGAGCCCCGGATGCTGCCCTGAGCCACACTCTCCACACTTGTGCTTGTCTGAGATGTCCGATGTGCAGACAAGGCTGAATGCAGCGCTGCGCTGTGCTTTAAACTCATTGGAACTGCTTTCCGCCTTGGGAATAGATGTCTTTCATTTTCCCTCTGTATTACAGAGTTTCTGTATTGATAGGATGTGTTTCTGATTTCTGTAGGAATAAAACAAACAGTTGGTTAAAATGAAAGTCATTGCTTTTTTTCACCCCATCTTAAAAGCATCACTACAGGTAAATCTCTTCCCATTATAATAACCACAAGGCATTACTATAGAAAGGTATTACAAATAAAGAGTATTTCCAATGCAGAATTATTTTGATAGTGTTTAAAAGTCTGACACAAGAAAATATAAGATCATAAATGTTTCAAGCTAATACTAATCTTAGGGAGCTCTGGTGGCCTTGTGGGAAGATACTGTGTTGCAATCCCGAAGGCACACAGTTCTATATTGCAACTGGCTTGGTGGGAGAAGAATGGGCAATCTCTTCTCATGCGATTATACCGCCTCTGAAAACCCACTGGAGGGTCAGTTCTGACTCAATGGTACACAACAATAACAACAACAACAACAACAACAACAACACTTATCATTAGCCAGGGAGGCCAGGGTTAGCTAACATTTTACAATCTTATGTTTTTGGACTCATTAATTTCTACTTCTGTGACACTGATGTGTAAAATGCGTTAATGGTTGGCTACCCAATGTGGACAGAGAGTGGGGTGGAGCTCTCTGATTAAAACAAGCTTGGAAGGAGGAGTGGCATCCACTTCCATAATAGCTTGCCTCCGGAAACCCTATGAACCTGGAGAGAGGATGAAAGACACCCAAGTGTTGAGGACTCTCCTTCATAGGGTCGCTATGAGTCACCTGCTGACTCGAGGGCACTTAACAACAACAACAATTTCTACTTTATTACAGTAAGTTTATTTTATCTTTTTCAGAGGAGAAGAACTTTATTTTTACAAAGAATATAAATTAATGATTAAACACAAACCACCCTATTTTATTGATTTTTATGTGGGGCCAATAAATCTTAAGGAATTCTTTTTCCCTCCACTTCTAGGCTTATTCTGTTTTGAACCTTGGCATCCTTCTGATCTCAAAAGGTACCAGTGCAGGAAGCACACCTCAGTCTATTTTAATTTTAGGTTTAGGAGCTGGCGATCACACGCAGGGCTTCCTGTTATGTTCAGGATCATCTGAAGAGAGGCCGTGAGCTCCTGCTGGGCAACCTGTCCTTAGGACAGTGGCCTGCAGCACCATCCACTAGAGAGCACTCCCAGGTGCCCAGTCACATCCCATTCCCTTGGCCAGGATGGAGCCTCCTCTTCCCTTGGTCTCCCTGGTGCAAAGAGCTTTATGTGTAGACCTGCTAACACAAACGTCAACAGTTTAAGTACACTATCTACTCCACAGAGAAACATGAGAGAGTCCATTCTTATTAGAATGGAAGCCTGAGGAAGCATGACTATTAGTGAGGATGGACTCATCTGCAGCCTGTTTAGTTTAGGTTTCCCAAGTGGCAGTCAAAGCCTGATGTCCCTTCGGGACAGATCCCACAGTGCAGGAGAGAGAACAGGCTAAGGCGCTCCAAATAGATTACTCCATCAGTTCAACATATTACAAAGTCAAGACATATCAGAAGATAAAAGGGCAGGACCCAAATGGTTTCTAACAGAGGTTCAACAAGAGAACATGACAGACTGGTTTCAACCTTGTCATCCTGTGGGCACACAGCCAACACTATTTTATGCAATACTGAAAATTAAACAATATAGTTAGATGTATTAATAAACATTCATAAACAGTACATCAACAGGAAACTTCCAGAATTTCAAGCTAGACTCAGAGGTCATGGAACAAGGGCTGTCACTGCTAATGTCAGATGGATTTGATTGAAAGCAGAGAATACCAGAAAGATGTTTACTTGTGGTTTATTGACTATGTAAAGGCATTTGACTGTGTGGATCATAACAAATTATGGATAACATTGAGAAGAATGAGAATCCTAGAAATCTTAATTGGTCATGTGAAATCTATACACGGATCAAGAAAAAATAATCCAATCAGAACAAGGGAACGCTGCATGATTTAAAATTAGGAAAGCTGTGAATCAGGGTTGGATCCTTTCTCCATAACTAATCAATTTGTATGCTGAGCAAATAATTTGAGAAGTTGGACCATATGAATGTCACTGGAAAAAGACTCATCAACATCCTCCATTATGCTGATGACACAACACTGCCTGCAGAAAGCACTTCCTGAAAAAGATCAAAGACTACCTTCAGTATGAAGAAAACAATAATCCTCACCATTGCACCAATAAGTACCATCCAGCTAGAGGGAGAAAAGCCTGACATTGTCAATGATTTTGTTTTACTTGGGTCCACAATCAACACCCATGTACCAGCAGTCAGGAGATCAAAAGATGTGTTGTGTTGTGAACATCTGCTATGCAGGACCTCTCCGCAGTGTTAGAGAGCAACAATGTCAGTGTAAAGACTAAAATGTGCCTGATCCAAGCCGTGGTATTTTCCATTTCTTCCTATGCATTTGCAAGTTGGACAGTGAACAAGGATGACAGAAGATGCCTCTGAATTGTGGTGTAGGAGAAGAGTACTAAATGTCACATGAACTACCAAAAGAATAAACAGAAGAAGTGAAACCAGGGTGTTCAAGGACGGTCAAACTTTGTCTCACGTACATGTTATCAGAAGGGGCCAGTCCTTGCTAAAAGACATCATCATGCTTGGAAAGGTGGACGGTCAGAGAAAGAGAGGAAAACCTTCAAGAAGATGGACTGACACAGTGAGTGTAACAATGGACTCAAGCATCCAGGGGACAGAGGATGGCATAGGGATAGAAATCATAAGGATAAGGTCAGGTTCAGATCTACTGTTCATAGGACATCTGTGAACTGTAGCTCACTTGACGGCATCTAACAACAACACAGACAATATCAGAAAGGAGTTTTACTGGATGTTGTCTAAGACAAAATTTAGGCAAAGATGATTTTCACAAATAATGACATAATTTTTTAAATTTTATTTTATTAATTTTAATGAACATTTACAGAGATTTTTTATTTTCATTCATTCATTGTTGCACTTTTTCTCCCTGCCCAGTCCTCCCCCACCCAGTTCGCTCCTCTCTTTGAAAAGCAAAAGAAAAATTCCTTCTTTGGTATACAATCCCCCCTCACCTCGCCCACCACCCCGAGTACACTCCACTATGCAACCTTAATTCCGGACTCTTGTGATAACCATTATACCGTATCACATATCGTTTTTAAATTATTCTCTCCCTCATCTGTTTCAATGCAGTACACATAATTTATCCAGTTTTTCCTCAGTCTTACCACAACCCTGTTAAACAAGGAACTCATGCAATATTATTCAAATTAGGTGACCCTGGAGGACATTATGCTGAGTGAAAGAATTAATTTTTTAAAAAGAGCTACCATCTATCTTGATTGGCTGTTAATCTAACATTCTCCTGTCAAAGGTACCAGATATGTGTTCTCAATTTTCAATTCTTTTTAAAAACTTATGAACTAAAATCATGGTGAGTCAGAGAAATATTGAACATACTAGATATAACTTCATTTATTCCTTCTTACCTAAAGAACTTTAAAATAAAGATTCTAATTGGTTTTTAAAGGTTCTGGGGGTGGGGGAAATTGCCCACAGATCTTTCATTTCTATCAGCAGACTCATGGCACACCCATAGGATTCAGTTTTAATTTATTTTTATTGTGATTTGACTAAAAGTTTACAAAGCAAATCAGTTTTCACCATAAACCGTTCATACACCCCCTCCTAACTTATTATTTTAACTCTCATTTCCATTGATTCTTTCATCTTACCCCTCACACACACATACTTTCTGTGATCTGGGCAATTCTATTCTAAGAAGTTAGAGACTCCTTAGCCTTACAGATCACTTTCTAGGTCAGTCTATTTTTTTGGCTGAAAGCTGGGCCCCAGAGGTGAGATTTTCCCTCAGGTTTAAGGGTGGCCTGGGACTGTAGTCTTGGGGATTCAATCAGTCTCTACTGGGCAGTAAGCCTGGCTTGTTTCCCCATAGGGTAATTTTTTGTACTGATTTGTACTGATTTTTGAGCAGTAGTTCACCAGGCCTTTCTCATGAGGTACTTCTCTGAACTCAAATACTGACCCTTTTTGTTCATAGCAGAGTTAACTGCACCATCAGTCGTGTTAAATCTACTTGGTACTTAAAAGAAGATGAACAACAGTTATCTGAAAACCACTATGTTGCCTCTACTCTTGCAGATAAATTAGATTTTACTCTTTACAGATGGAATGAGGAGTTCAAATTAAAAGCAGTTTAAGGTTAAATAATTAGCTTTTAAAATAATTACCTTGCGGTATATTTTCAATGTGTTCAGTCCAGATCAGTATTTCTGGATTACTTTCTCCTTCCAGTAAGGCACTGTAAAAAGAATTTAAAAAAAAAAATCATTAGGATATTAGAGCAGGCAGTGTCTTTAGTTGAATGTATCCCTAACTACCATGTCATGGTGACATAACCCTTAAGACTCAGTCAGGTCTGAACACTGTAGTGCTGTGTGCTCACCTCAGCCTCCGGAGACCCTGGGCCAGGGTGTGCTCTTATATTCACTGCACAAGTCCCCAGCACCTAGCACCTTGTCTGCTATGCAATGTGTGTTAGCCCAATACTGGCTAACAGGGAGCACTGGTGGCCTAGTGGTGAGAAGTTGTGCTGTCAACACTAAAACCCACAGTTCAAATCCACCAGCTGCACCTCTGGTCTTCAACTGGTTCCAAGGAATATTTTGTAGAGGAAGAGGAAAGATGAGAGATGGACAGGATTAAGAAGAAAAATAAAAGCTACGGAGCACCGCTTCACTCCATCCAGACAAAGGCTGGGAGCCACTCAGTTACTTCTAGCTCGGTGGCTGTTGTTAGTTTCTACTGAGTTGTCCTCTGACTCGGGTTAACCCCTTGCACCTTGGAGAACAATGCTGCTTAGTTCTGCCACATCTCCATTACTGAGTGTAGACCAGACCATGGTGGCTCACAGGGTTTCCACTGGTTGATTTACAAAAGCAGATCACCAGGCCCTTCTTCCCAGTCCACCTTAGGCCAAAACTTCCACTGGAGCCTTAATGATGGACAGGTGGTGGATATGCAAGAGGGGCAGTTACGGGGAATCAAACTCAAGCCTCCTGCATGGAAAGCCAGCAGTGTGCCAAGGAACTGCTAATGCCTCCACAGGACTTCTGGTCCTACAAACCTCAAATTCTAGGGTCTTCCTTAAGCCGTTACCTACAACTATGACTTAGACCACAGCTTTGATGACAGATAGGGCATGACAGGTCCTGGGGTCCCACACCCCTAGCACAGGTGATGGACCTATGGGCTCAGCTCAGTTCACAGCCAATGAATATGAACTAACTCAGCCCAGACACTCCACTGAGTTTCCGAGGCAGTAAATCACACGAGAGACTCGTATCTCTCTACCTCAGAGATGCTGGTGAATCTGAACTGCCAGACAGGCACAGCCTCTGAGTGAGCAATGTAACTCCCAGAGCCCTGGTATACCCAGCACGGGCTGTAAACCTGCACATTACGACAGCTGACTGGGAAGCTGGCCCCTGAGGCACAACAGTTGTTTAGTTGCTAGAGCGATATATGAAGTCGCTAAGGCCCGGATCCAAGACTTACACCCTCTATGGCCAACACACACCAAGCCCGGGCCCCTGTGGTCACACGGGAATCACTTCTGTCAGCTGGCCAGGGAAGCTGGGCAGGGCATATCCAGATCAGAGTGGGCATCACAGCTTGGTCAAACTGGCACTGGGTTTTGGTTCCATGGATATAAATGTGGTGATTCACAGAAGCATAAAACATATGGGACAGTCTGAACAAGGAAATCACCTATCAGACTATCAGAGTAAAAAGACAAAGATGATGAGGACACTGTGTAGCTTCATGGAACCACAGTGGAGGTACACACAGGAGGAGGTGCTGTATCCAGGGGCCAGGCTGCACTGTCCACTTGGGAAAGCCAGGAAACAGGACACCAGCCCCACTCTGTCCGCACCTGCATGACCAAGCACTTCAGGTTCCAGCTACACAAATAGCCCCCAGTTCTGAGAAGATTCCAAGGTCTGTACTAAAAAGAGGAACTTTCAGAGTAAGAGTGGAATCCAGAGCAGTGCCCCAGGGTTACAGCCCCAGGAAAGGCCGGTCCTCAAGCTGCAGAGGGACCAGGCGAGGGTTAAGTTGTTAGGAAAGTTCTATTTCAGATCCTTTCTCAGCATGGAGATCTTACTCCTGAAGCTGGAACATCAAGAACCAAAGTGCTTGCTTTCTGCTCTGCTTTGCCCTCCGAACCACAGCCGGTTTGGAGGGTTCAAGTGCATCATTGGCAAATCCCTTTAAGGGGTAAATATGTCCTCGGCCCACAAGGGACAGTGTTTTGTTCTTCCTTGAAGCAAAATACAATGAATTCCATGGAGATCCTGGGTTTAGAAGCCTGAGCATGGTATTAGGAGCCAGAAAAGGGGTCCCAAACCCCCACAAAGCTTATGGACTGGGAGGGACAAGGTGCAGCGAAAACACCTCCCTACCAGGGCCTTCCCCAGCCTGGTCAGAGCTGAGCGCCAGGCTGTTCTTTTAGAATCCTTTCAGAAGTGAAGGGTCTATGTGTGTGCTCCTCACACAGGTGAGAAAACAGAAGGGCAAGTCGCACAACCAGGCTCCTCTATACTCAACCACTCCTCTGTGCTGTGCTAACCTCCTGCATCTGGACCAGAGATGCTGGTGCTGCACACACATTTCAGAAATCACAAACCCTACAGACAGACCCTCAAGCACACATTTTTGTTAAATGACACAGTTCACGGAGACCCCTACACAGGGGAAGCACCACCCAGCCCTGCGCTACCCCTGTGACCTGGACCACTGTGATCTGTAAGGTGTTTACGTGATGCTTTGAGAAGCAGACTTTCAAGCCTTTCTTCCCAGCCCAGCTCAGCCTGGAAGCTCCACAGAAACCTGTTCAGCATCATAGCAACTCATGAGTGTCCAGTGACAGACAAGTGGCAGGGTGCAAGGTACACTGGCCAGGAATCAAACCCAATCCTCCTACATTGCTGTTGTTGTTAGGTGCCATCGAGTACAACTCATAGGACCCTATGAACAATATATCTGAACCCTGGCCTATCTTGTGCCATCCTCATCATCCCTGACACACTTGAGCCCACTGCAGAGTCTTCCCCTCTATCACGGACCCTCCACCGTCTCCAAGCAATAATCACTCCTAGCAACATGTCCCAAATATGTGAGATGAAGTGTCTCCAATCTTGCCTCTGAGGAGCACTTCGGCTGTACTTTCTCCAGGACATATCTTTTGGCAGTCTGTAGGAGATTCAGGACTCTTCTCAGAACCATAACCTATGTGCAAAGTGATAATCCTACCACTCAAACACCAGTTTCTCACCAGACCACACTCATTAAAATAAATTAAACATCTGCTGGTGATTTTACTCTAAATGCCCCTACAGGGCTCTCCCATAATAACATGAAAGAAACACCTGCCAGGGAAGCACCACCTCACCACTCCCACCCCCCTTCTGGAAGACAGGCACGTGTGTCACCTGCACAGTGGGGCACACTACATGGTTAATTTACGTGTCCACAGGCTCATCTCATCCACAAATCATCCCACCTCCTGCCAGCACAAACAAGACCCCTATTGAAGTGTTAGAAGTGTATGCTTTTCCCAAATACTCTTAAAGAGCCATTCTTGAGGGACAGGCCCACGACTTCAAGAAATGAGTGGAAGGTTCTCTCTCAGAGGATCCAGCTGAGTCTGGTTATTTTGAGATCATGGACAAAAACAGCCTCAAAGCTGTGACTGAGAAATGCCATGCTCGTGAATCATATGCTATTAGTGAAGTTTTCAGGCCGCTCAACAGGTTGGCGGCCTCCCACAGGAAAACACTCAAGAGTGCGGGAAAGCCAGTTCCCCTGCCTCCTTAAGAAGCCTGCCTTAAATCCATAGCACAGATGTGGACTGTGATGTTGCCTCTGACCTCACTCCAAGACCTAACAGGTGCCATGCCACCTCTGGTGGCGGAGTCCTTCTGGTAGAGATGATTGTAATTGGCTTTCTTGGCTGCTGACACTGAGAGCTAATGAGCACAGCAACACCACCCATGGTACCACAAAGAGGCACAAGTGTGAAGTCCTCAGAATGTTCACAGATATCTTCTGAGTGAAAAGGACATGGAGAGCTGAGGAAGAATGAAGAGGCAAGGCGTGCATACCCAAAAGTTAAGAGGAGAGGTGCAGAAGACCAGGGAGGGACACCAGATAGCCTGGTCACCTGGGCAGAGCTGGCACCTGGCTGGGGCTCCAGCCAGTGTGGTCAGGCTTGCCCTGTGGCTTCTCCCTGTCGCCAGTCCAGCCAGTCAGTCACAGAGCAGCAGGAGAAGGGGAGATGGGGCACAGAGACTTCCATTCACACCCAGGATTCAGGATCTAACCAGGAAGACCATGGCTTTATGTGAAACATTCATCCCCAGGTGACAGGGTGTCAAGTTCCAGTCACTTATTATCATTTGCCAAAAGCCTATTCATTGATACTTCTTGTGTGCCATCAGTAGGAACCAAACCATAACTGACCCTCCCGCAGATTTTCGGAGGCATCTAACAGCAAGCTCTGGAGTCAGGGTGTCTGGGTTAAAATAATAATTAAAATAAAATTTTATTTAAAAATAAAAGCTGTCTGGATTCAAATCCTGACATTCCTTTTCCTGGCTCTGTGACTTTGGAAAAACTACTTAAACCGTCTATTCCTAAAGTGGGGAGAGAAATGTAATGGAGAGAAGTTTAAAGTAATTAGTGGAGCAGTTAACCTAGATTACTTGCTCAGTAAATGCTTGGAGGCTCATGTGTGAAGCGGTGTTGGGTTTGGGATGAATACTCTTCTAAGTGGAATAACACTGGTCTGTCAATTCTCTGTACTGAGGTCACTTGGGGTTGCTGAGAGGCGGAACACTGCACCACTGATGTGTCAAATGTCATAATAGTTACCTGTGGTGGACAGTGTTTGGTGGAGCTCCCATACTGAGACAGGCTTGGAAGCAGGTGTGGCATCCACTTCCTGAACAACATGCCTCTGGAAACTCTATGAACTTAGGGAAAGGACAATAGTTATAGAATAGGGTTCAGGTCTTCTGTTCATAGGGCTGCTATGAGTCATGCTCAAATCAACGGCACTTAACAACAACAACAAATGCTGTCATATCTCTTCCTCATATTCCACTAACCCTAGAATAAAAGATATTTTAGTTAACTCCATTAATAACCAGGGAATTAAGTGGGCCAAGTTGTTGTTGTTGTGTTAACATGTGTTGTGTCAAAACAGACTCATGACGGACCCTCTGGTAGGTTATCAAA